CTTTGCGGCATCTGTCGCAAAACGTTCAAGAGCTTGGTGGAGTGTTTTGGCTGTAAACACACAAGGGAAATCATCAATTACGTCGTTTTCTCCACAGATAGTTATATCGTATACATTCTCCTTTTCATGAGTCTCATGCATTCGTAAAATCTAGCTGGTTTTGAGGTGACGCGGGTCACGAGAGATTCGAATTTATTTCCACGAGACATATCGTTTACATTTTATTAATGACATCGCGAAAACAGGACAACAATAATATATTCATATCATTGTGCAAAAATACATACTTTATTATACCATTGTAAAATAGAGATTAACAATAACGAGATAACTGTATTTACTATATCTCCTATTTTATAACAGTTTTATCATAATTATTGATCGAAAAACTTCAGCAGCCAGGGTAGTAAATTTATACGTAACATAATATGTACTATATTATTTTTCTTCTAATACACCAATTCATTTTATTATGTAGATTGAAAGAATATTAATAATAATAATAATAATAATAATCAGACACTGAAAAAAATATAATATTTAAAAGGGAACCAACAAGTTTTTTTTATATAGGTACTATTTACTGTTTAGTGCATAAAAAATGTACACTTTAATATCTACTTAAATAAAGAATAAAACACAAGTTTCATTTTTATATTTTTTTTYTGAGCAACAATCTTAATAATTATTGATTTTAAGATTTAAAAATATTCGTGTAAAAAATTAGTATACGAAGACTATAATAATGKGTACTTATATATAAGAAAACATTACAGTTAGGAATTTTTWAAGTATAAGACTGACAAACCAAAATACCTAATTTTGGATAAAAATTAATTAAATTGTTTGATGTAAATATTAAATTAAAATTAAAAATGCAATTATTTACCATAAAAAAAGCGGCTCACAACAAATAGATAAATCCACAGAAAAGCAATTTTTTTTTCTTTTGAAATATTCTTCTTTCAATACATTAATGAAATTTATATCTCTAAACTGCCAAAAAGTGTTATCATTTCATCGAACTCATAAACTTACGAATACAATTTCCAATAAATAAATTTAAGTTCCTATATAGGTAATATATATATATAATATATATTGTACCTATAGAAGCATATTATTATGTTAGGTATGCGTAAGACAAAATATTAGGAACATACATAAATCAAATTTTTTTCTTAATGTTTTATACGTTATACAACCTAACGTTTATAACCAAAAACTTATAGTTTTGAAAATACAAAACGTATATATTACACTAGCAAGTGGGATATACAGAAACAATAAATTGTGGCGTAAAGTCCTTTAAAACAATCGCTGAGACATTTTTGATTTATAACATGAAGCACAATAGATCCACAAAATATAATTTATATACTTAACACGTACCTTTT